TGGCAGAACTCACCTGTAAGACTTATAATTTGGTGTTTTCTTTGTGGGAAGATTTTAACTGTTACCTCATTTCTCTAATAGATATTATTCAAGCTTCTTACTTCTTCCATTTTGTCTAAATTTTTTTAAATGCTGGTATATAGCTGATAGTTTTCTCTTTTAACACATTAACTGCCAAATGAGGTGTATTTAACTCACACTAGTTTTGAGCCTGGGGCCCCATGAAGCAAAACCTGGACAAAACCCTTCAGGTGGTTAGTGAAAATCTTACTTGCTGATGTTCTTATTGTTACAATTAATACTGACAATTCTAAAACATGGATTAAATGAATAGAAGTCAATAAATTTAGTTGTTCATCAAATTTTTCATTAAATTAGAAAGAAGTGTTTGGTTTTCAAAGTTTTTATTCTATTTTTGTAATGAAACACCATGACCCCAAGGAAAAATTTCTTTTTTCTAGTGGGGCTGTCAATGGGTTAATCTCTACTTTGTGTACAGATTCTTTTAATTCAAGATAGTTTATTGCATCTTCTTTCTTCTCTTGACCAATCTTGTTAGAGGATGTCTACTTCCCCACCCCACAAACAACTTTTAGCTTTGATCTTCTCTATTGTATCTTTTTCTTTTTAATAATTATTCACTCTTATTTTTATCACTTCTACATTTTTCAAATTTACTCTGGTCATTTACTGATTTTAAGTTAGTTACTTAGCTTATTCCTTCTTTTATAATTTGAATACTTATGGCCACAAATTCCTCCCCTCTTCCACTCCAAAACTATTCTTAATTCAGCCCACAGGTTTTTTTTGTTTTGTTTTGTTTTGAGACAGAGTCTCACTGTTTCCCGGGCTAGAGTGCCCTGGCATCAGCCGAGCTCATAGCAACCTCAAACTCCTGGGCTCAAGCAATCCTCCTGCCTCAGCCTACCAAGTAGCTCGGACTATAGGCGTGAGCCACCACGCCCGGCCAGCCCACAGGATTTGATATATTAATTTCCATTTCTAAAAATCTTACATATCATAGGCTGGGCGCAGTGGCTCACCTATAGTCCCAGCTACTCAGGAAGCTGAGGCAGGAGGATCACTTTAGCCCAGGAGTTGAAGGTTGCAGTGAGCTATGATGACACCATTGCAGTCTATCTGGGGCGACAGAGTGAGACTGTGTCTCAAAAAAAAAAAAACAAAAAACTTGCATGTTCTTGCTAATTTGTCAGCTCAACTTATAAACAAGAGAAAGACAATGAAATCTCCTACTATGATGGTGGACTTGTCTACTTTATCCCAGTGTAGTTCTACTAATTTTGCTTTTCTATTTCAAGAGTTTTTAATCATGGGCAAACATGCTTTAACTTGCTGTATCTTTTTGGTCGTGTCATTATGTAGTGATTCTTTCCATCCCAATTAAGACATTCTGTCTTGAAGCATATTTTATCTTATGTTAGTATGATCACACCAGCTTTTTTCTGATTAGTATTTCCAGGTATCTTTTTCTAACCGTTTATTCTCAATGTCTGAAGGTCCTTAGAAACTTCTGGTATGTCCCTTACAAAAACCATATATCTGAACTTTGGGTTTCTTCAATCCAATTTTTCCATTTTTATCCTTTAACTGGTGAGTTCAGTCCATTTATTATAATTGATATATTTGGATGTTTCTACCATCTTATAATTTAGCATTCCAGTTTGTCCTACTCTTTCC